TATACATGTTGCTCCATGTCATGGATTGCAATCGCACAATTTAACGACATTCTTCCCACTTTCTCCCCATATTTATCATTTCCATTCTTCCCTCTTTTGTAACCTTCCCTGTCTTCATCCTTGGGCAAATATAGCCCTTTTGGTCTGGTGTGGTTGATTGTTCTAATGAATAAGTACCTCCCTGGTGTTATTGTTCACCTTACAGAACTGTCTATTGCTTGGCTCAAAGGTGAGCCATGGTAGCGAGTTCCACTCCAGGCTTGAAGGGGGCCTAAGGGCTATAGACTCGTGGGTTCCACCAGTCTTTATCAGAGCAGTAAGCCTGGTCTTTTTTTTTATGATTTTGAGTTTTGTTCCCCGTTTTCTCCCACTCTATCTGGGCCCTCCTATTATGATCCCTTTCACAGACATCAGCAGCAATAGCCAGGCACCATCTCGTTCTTCTGCTCTCAAGGTCATGGAGGCTGGCGTTCATGTGGTCCTTTAGACTAATTGTTTCCTTGTGTCTATGCTTTCATTCACTGTTCTTTGCTCGGGACGGGAGAGAGCAATAATTGCACCTTAAGGGGCTGCTCACAAGATTTTAAGATCCCAGTCACTATTCACCACAGTAGGACATAGAACATTATCTTTGTGGACTATGTTATGCCAATTGACCTTAGTGTCCCTGAGACTATGGGCATGAACCCAGGCTCAGTGACTCTTTCCCTCAAAGTATTTGGTTATGGCTAAGAAGTATTCATAACTTTGCCCCATATATGCTCTACTGTATTCATGGATATATTTGCAGCACATGTAAATACTAATGTAGAAATGTTGTTGTTGTTGTTGTTGTTATGTGCCGTCGAGTTGTCCCCGACTCATAGCCTCTGTCAAACCTATATTTATCCGTGGGTATAGTCATATTTGCCTTCCTACTTCTTTACAGAGGTCTTTTACAACAGATTTGCCCAGTACAATAAGTCATTTGATTTCTGAAGTGCTGCTTCCATGGGTGTTGACTGTGGATCCAACTGAAATGAAATCCTTGACAACTTCAATCTTTTCTCATCATGTTGTTGCTCACTGGTCTAGTCATGAGGACTTTTGTTTTATGTTGAAGTGTAATCCATCCTGAAGGCTGTAGCTTCAGCTCTTCATCAGCAAGTGCTTCAAGTCTTCTCTGCCCTCAGCAAGCAAGGCTGTGTCATCTGCACATCACAGGTTGTTAATGAGTCTTCCTCCAGTCCTGATGCTGTATCTGTCTTCATATAATCCAGCTTCTAAGATTATTTGCTCAGCATAAGATTGAAGAAGTATGGTGAAAGGACACAATCCTGACCCACACCTTTCCTGAGTTTAAACCACACCATATCCCCTTTGTTCTGTTCAATCGATTGCTTCTTGGTCTGTGTACAGGTTCCACATGAGCACAATCAAGTGTTCTGTAATTCCCATTCTTTGCGAGAGTTCAATGCTCACGCCCCATATATTTTTCTAACTAAGCTAAACTAATGCTTGGTTCAAAGCAGACCACCGGGGGAAGTTTTGGTTTGAGGTTTAAGGTTTAAAGATTATCTCAGGGCAATAGTTTCGGGTGTTTGTGCACTCTCAATGGCTACAGAAGAACTGGATTCCATCCAGAATTTGAAATTCTGTTCTGGTTTTCTTCCCCCTTTTGATCAGGATTCCTTTATAGAATCTTAAATCAAAACATTCAGTAACGACAGCCACTGCCTCATCATTTTAATATTGTACCTTCCTCCTGATGATGCCAGGAGAAGGGACAGTGATTTCCCAGTAATGCAGTATAAAAGCCAGCAGGCCCAACAGTCAGGGTTCCTTCTCAGAGTCTGCAGTCTGGTGCTTCCAGAGAGCTCTGCGCGACTCAGACAGGGAAGAGCGACGGCAGAGCTGCACACTAGCTCCCAATTCCAGCTTCATGAATTTTCCACAGTGAATGCCGCTCCCTCCTGGAGCATCCATTTACTTGACCATTTGCCATTGTCTGGCAGCCAGAAATGATCAAGAAATATGTGTTTATCAAACGTTGCTGCAATTTTCTTTGATACATATTTTTTTTTTATATAGATATACCCTAAAGCATGAAACAACCAGCAATCTCATATTTCATAGAAACGAAATACAATGAGGACACAATTGCCCTTCTTTTAAATCAAATATGCTTGTCTAGATGTCTGCAAATAAATGATAAACCACTTTACCTACAGGGCTACCATAAACATATAAAACTGTCAATGTCTATATTATTAAATTATATGTAAAAATCATGTCCTGGGATACAAAAGGAAACATTTTGCTCACTGTGGGAAACCAACCATGTGAAGTACAGGAGCAAACACTGCACGAAGAAGCCATTTATTCCAAGAGATTTTACAAGTATTTTTAAGACGCCTTTGGGTATTGATAGAATTTCTGCATTATACTTAAAGTATAAAGGGCCATCTGCTCCAGCAGATTGTTTAAAAAGAAATAGAGAAACCGCAGTAAATCTGTCTTTGAACTTGGAGGTGAGAGACTATTCGTGTGTTCAACAAGCTGGCTGACTCCTCCCTGATGGGTTGATTTCAACGCAGTGTGAAAGACAAGTGCTGGTTCCCCCCAGGCTTTCTTCTAGGGATTCTCCAATAACCTCGTTTGTGGAATGCTCTTTGGCAGGGGTATTTAACGTCTGCTGGCAGCTAAGGAAAACTTCCCTGTGGATAGAAGCCATCACAGTCTCTGTTAACGAAGCTAGGGTCTGTGGTTCTATCCAATGACAGAAAAGGTCAGGTACCTTCTTGTTGTTTGTTCTACTGTCTTATGTCACAGGCCCAGACAAGGGGCCAGGTGAAAGGATGAAGATGCCTCAACTCATGAGCACTCTGGGGACATGCAGCCCCAAGTGAGCAGCCCACTCAAACCTGTGATGATGACACTCTATAACCAAGACAATGCAGTCTATCGAACAAAGACCTGGCCCGTTCCCTCCAGCAGCCGACAAAGCATCATTCATAGGAAATAAGCGTGTCATGGACTCAGGGCTGGGGAAGAAGATAAGCTTGGCTTCTGCGTGCCCCCTGAGTCCCAGCCTGGGGACTCCTAGGAAATACCTGTCGAAGATTCTCTGTGGCTGCATCATGCTGTTTACGACGTGGGTCAGGTGGTCTCGAGCCGCAATCACCTCCGGGGGTGGGCCGTACTTATTCACCGCGGAAACCTTGTCCACAATTAAAAATGTAAAAGGGGACAGGTTAGCTTCTAAAAGGAAGACAAGGGTTAGATTTTCTGAAATGCGATCTTTCAGATACGCAAAACGGGTTTCAAAATCAATTTTAAACACGTCCAGGAACCTCTAGGTTCCGTCCTCACAGCTGGTCTAACTGTCCTAATGTCTAAATCAAGAGAATCTTGTGAAAATGGAGAGCTGGAATCCCTTGATCCTATACTTCTTTACACTTCCTGGTTTGGGAGGGAAAAAGCATGGGAAACCTCTAAAATCCATGGTTACTTTTGATATAAACTTCCAGCTTTTATTACAAGAAAAAGGAACAAAATTCATTGTTCTAAATTTCAGGTAGTTGATACTTCACTAATTTTAATTTTTCTTTTCCCCCAACACCATCTCACCAAGAACTAGTCTCATTATTTCAAATTTGACAATAACTTCTGCCTCTTTTAGCACAGCTTTCTCCAGTCAAGGGTCCGGGCCCTTCCCTCATAATCCTACCCTTCCTTTACCCTCTTCTCTTTGTCATCCCTCTAAATACATCACCCTCGTCTACCACACCTTTACTTAATACTGGCTTTTCACTTATTCCCCTTGCAAAAGGACAAGAGAAATCAAATAAGTGCCTTTGGGTGCGAGAATCCTAACAGACTTGCCAGCATCTGGAACTATTTTTAACCAAGATTTCAGGAAGGCATTTATGAGATGGGATTTCTGTCTCTCCGCACACGTATACCTGTTTGCATTCCTACTCTCACATTTGCATCCAGTCTAAGAAAGCCCTCATTAGTGGAGGTCTCAGCTGTCATTAGTCACAGAAGCAAGATAAAGCAGCCACTTCAGGAATTGGGGAGAGATACAGGTGCTGGCATTTAAAATCCAGTTACTCTGCGATCGTGTGACCATGAATCATTAACTTTAAAGAGCAAAATTAAGGATTTAAAATATCTAGCATAGCGTCTAAGGCACTTGACTGCTAACCAGAAGACTGGCGGTTCAAACCCACCAGCCACTCCTCAGAAGGAAGGTTGGGCAATCTACTTCCATAGTGATACCACCTCGGAAACCCAAGGAGGGGTCGCTATGAGTCAGATTTGACTCGACAGCAGATAACAACAACAACAGTGGTTTATTCAAGTTTCTTTTGATCGTATGGTAGAATGACATTATATCTTGTTATTAAATGAATCTTTAGAGTGATGCAGAATTACACACCATCCAAATATGGTAGTTACCCACATTAATAATCTGCCATAACACTGCCAGCCCACAGAAATGGAGTGCCCTCAATACCAATCCCTTTGTCAGCAGGAGAGGTTTCTGTCATTCATGCAGATGGTCAGCTCTTCAAAGGGTGAAATTCCTAAAGGATTAAACTCATAGATCCCAAGTGGAAGACGCAGTGCCCAATGAAGAATGAACTTACACAGAGCTGCGTGTCCCATTTATTTATGACATTAGACCTGCAGCAGAGGCCAGAACAAATTAAGTCCAAAATACACGAAATGATGTGATTACATACCTTTTCCTCCACTTTAATCTTCTTGTGATCTAATTCTGTTAATCGTAGTAGCTTAAAAATTACGAAGAACCAGTAATCAGACTTCTCCTATTGAAAATATCAGGAAGATGATTCCATTACTTTTTTTTCCCCAAGTAAACCAGCAACAGCATCCCATGTTTACCAGCTTAGGTCTCCACCTGCCACCCCTCTGTTCACACACGTGTCCAGTCTACATGTCTGGGGTCATTTATTCCCCAGTGAACACTGCTCTGCCATCTCTCCTGTACTCTGCAGCCTACCTGAGGAGTAAAAAATGACCAGACAGAGAAGTTACAGAGATTCAGTGCCCAGGTTCACTCTCACTGACAGTAATGCCACAGCTTGTTAGTCAGGAAACAAGACCTTCTTTCCAAAGGTCAAGTCCATTTAGGTGCTTCTTTGCCTAACCCTCTAATTGTTTCCTAACAGTTAGAGAATGAAGGTAAACCCACTATACTCACATTCCTTGATGTTTTTTATGAAAGGTACTCTTGAAGAATGAGGAACAGAACTTCAAATCTAAATGGAATCTAGATTTTCCAGACTCATTGAGGCTGACAAACCCCCAAAACTATTGCCCAGAGTTAATCTTTTAAACCAAAACTCCTGAATTCTTCTTTGAACCAAAAAGTAGTTTATCTTCATAAGGATGTCTGCCTGGAGCATTGTGCTCTTCTGAAGAATTATCTATGTGAGATCAAATTGACAACAGAAACTTGAAAGGTTCGATGAGACACTTGGGGGCCTGTGAGTTTAAGCAACGGTAGTGGAACAGTTTGGAGAAGGATGGTGAGCATGTTTGCACCACTAGAAGAATGTAATCAATATTAATCAATATCACTGAGTTGTTCAGGCACAAATGGTTGAAACACTGTATGACTGGGTATATTTTTACCAAAAGAAAAAAAGGAAATGAAATATACAAAATTTAGAAATACAAAAAAAGTACTTCTTGAAGAATGGCAAGATAGTCCCCTCCTCAGAGTACCTGCTACAAATGATCTCTCACCTGAATTGGGTTTCCTAGGAGATTGAGGACTCGAAGGAGAGGCAGATCTTCAATGTATTCTATTTCACGCAGCTCAGCAATCTGTTTAATCAAAGAACCAAAATATTATCAACAAGCTAAACTCACAAAGACAAAAGAAAACACAATAGGAACCAATGTGGATGTTATTTATTAGAGGGGAAACGATGCTATTTATTAGAGGGAAAATGTTTAATTGCTTTAAACATCCAGCTTTTCCACGAGAATCCCCGAAAGCTAGGCAGGAACAAGGAAATGATTGCACTCCTCCTCAACAAATGGAAATGCCCACAGCCACATTTTCTGTTTCCTGTCTCCTGGCTAGGGATCAGTAAGTATAGCCTCATCTCATCCATGGTTATTTTAAGAAAGAAAGAAAATAGCGTGCAGTGTGAGAGAAACAGTACAAAAGCTGCACACATCGGCTTCCTGAATTCTCCATCGTCTTGCTGCTCTAAAATAAAGACAAGCAGTTTCATTTCATTTCCTACAATTAGCAAAATAACTGTAATTTTATCTCAATAAAGTTGATATTGAACTTTTGCAAAACTTAATCACTGATTTTTCATTGATATTCTCTCCTCAAAAAAGATTTCTGCATGCATCATAAAAACATTCCAGTGGCAGAATCACTGATGACAATTGAGTTGCCCAACCCTAAAGCACAGCTAGAATGTAAACTGGTCCCCATCCTAAATCAGAAGAACATATGCACCATGTTCAAAGGACGCCATTTTCAAAGAACTGCACACATTAATCTGGTTACAACAGTGCTGTGCTATTATACACATCTTTTTCCATAAAATAACTGGACTCATCCATTAGACTGCCATTTGGATTATCTGTAAGAAAAAAAAGGGTCAATTTTTTTATATTGCATTATGCAGGAAGATGGAAAAGTAAACTTGGTTCACAATGCTCAGTTAGAACTTTTGAACAACAAATGATTTTCCTTCTAAAGTACCATTCTTGTGCTTGGACCTAACGTAAGTGTTGAGATATTTTCCTCAGTCATCAGGTCTCACCAGTGAGGCCTGGCCATGTGCACTTGCAGGCACTGCTGGTAGACTGGACGCTGGTACATATCTTCTGAAAGGGGATCTGACCTGCTCAATATGCGTAAGCTCTGAACAAGCTAGTCTACTTTAAGAGGTTCCTTCTGAAAAGAGCATCAGACATGCAAAAATATAGATGCAAGAATGGTCATTCTACACTGTTGTGGACTGAATTGTGTTGTCCAAAAATATGTGTTGAATTCCTAGCCCTGGTACCTGTGGGTGTGAGTGTGATCTTGTTTGGAAATAGAGCTTTTCTTCTGTTAAATTAATGAGGTTGTACCAGTGTAGGGTGGGTCCTAACCCTAATCACTTTTGAGTTATCAAATGAGCAGAATGGACACAGAGACACCTACTGAGGGAAGACAGATGCCAAAGACCTAACGGAGCTACTACAAGGAAGGAACTCCCCCTAAAGCCACGCCCTGAGTTTGAATATCTAGCTTCCTGAACCGTGACAAAATAAACCCCTGTTCTTTTTCGTTACAGCAGCACTAGGTAAAAGCAAAACAATTCAAAATTCCTAAAAACTCCATCACTTTGTGGGGAAATGAGTCACAATTCAAATGGAACACTAAGCATCCATTTTAGAAGATGATGGTGTCTGTGGTGGTTGGTGAGGAAGGATCTTTTGACATGCTGCAAACACTGTGAATAGAATGGTTGGAGACTATGTAAAATTACATAGCTCCCAGATGCCAGCTGGCATCAGCTGGTCTTTCCAGAGTCAAATGAAAAAGATTCACCTTTCCTCCCTATTCTTCTAAAAGTAAGATGAGATAGGAAAAGGCATAGGGGACAAGAATGATGTCCTCTGACTCCATGCTCCTCTTTCTGCTAACTACCCTAGTGTCCTGCAAGTGCCCTTGGTGGTGGGCTGCAAATGCCCTCTCCACAAAGAGTGCTGTTGTTGGGTGCCATCAAGTCAATTCCAACTCACAGCAACCCCAAGTGACAGAGTGAAACAGCCCCATAGGGTTTTCTTGGCTGTAATCTTGTCAGAAGTAGATTCTCAGGTCTCTCTCCAACAGAGCCGCTGGGTGGATTCAAACCCCCAACCTTTCAGTTAGCAGCCCAGTGCTTAACCAATGCTCCACCAAGTCTCCTTCCTCCAAAGATATCCACACCCAAATTCCTGGAACTTGTGAATAGTACCACATGTGGCAAAAGGATCCCAAGATGTGATAAGTTAAGGCCTGGTGATGGGGAGATTATCTTGGATTACTGGACCCTAAATGCAATCACAAGTATCCTTATAAGAGGAAGATGGAGGGACTTATTATCACACAGAAGAGAAGGTAATGTGAATGGAGGCAAAGGCTGGAGTGATGCAGCCACAAACCAAGGAATGCTGGCACCCATCAGAGCTGGGAGAGGCAAGAATAGGTTCTCCCCTCAAGCTTCTAGAAGGAGCACAACCCTGCCAGCACCTTGGTTTTGATCCAGTGAAATGAAATGAATTTTGGACTCTGACCTCCAGAACTGTGAGAGAATAAACTTCTGTTGTTAAGCCACCAGGTTTATGCCAATTGTTACAGCAGCCACAGGAAACGAACACACCCTCCTTCTGTACAATCTTACCATTGGCAGACCCCATTCTCATACCTTTGTTTCAAATTCCATAGGCCCAAGGCTGTGGGTGTAGTAGACTTCTACAGAAGGTGTAGGGACAACAGCACTCCAACCAGTCAATAATGAAATAGTACCAGAAAGACTGTATCCTTAAAGGAACATCACCCCAATGCTGCCAGGACCGTCCCACCAGCCTTGCTGATCCAGATTCTGGTCCAATCTCTTCTCTTACCTCTTGCCGCTCTTCTCGGCTGGCACCTCCCACCCTCAGAAGCCCATGGACTTCCCAGAGAGAGCCGTCTAGTTGACTCTGTTTGCCTTTTCCTCTCAGGCCACGCTAGTCGAGTCTCACTGTCTAGATATTCATTCAATGACTTCACATATGTAAAACATTAGGCTCAGTGTTTGTACACAGTGAGTATGTTGTATTAGCTATTCAGAAGAAAAACATTTTTAAATCAAACTTTTATGTGTTTGCAAAGCTGAGATCTTCAACTGATCTCAAAGTGACAGCATAGTACACACATCACTTGGGTAAGCTTTTATTTAATAACCATGTTCTCTAGTCCAAGTGGCCTATTGAAGTCTTTTCCTAAAAAAAGATATTTGCCTCCTTAGAAAAAAATCAAACACAACTAATTAAAATTTTTGTTGCTGTTGCTACATATATATGAATCTGTCCGGCCATATATAGGAAGATCTAGAACACTGTTTTCAAGCTCTGTGTTTCTACTAGTGAATCCTGAAATGAACTTAATGGGTCCCAACCAGCAGTTTTTTACTGGCAGTTTTTTAAATGAGATAAAATGGAATTGAAAGATTGTTGGAATGCACTGCTCATGACAAGGGCAAATATTGTTTCAAGAAATTTGAGGCACAGTTTTTTTTTTTTTTTAATATATGTATGTATGCTTGCATGTGTATAATAAGTTACAATGAAAAATGTATATTTTATTGCAGCTTTTGCCAAAAAAATTTGAAAGCCTTAGTTGAGAAAGATATCTTACTAAAACATCAGTGATACAATGGGGTTTCAAGAGATTGTTATTATTTGAGATCAGAAGAATAGATGGTGCCTGGCTACCACCAATAACCTTTCTGACCAGAGACACTATAGATTTTCCTGGATAGAATGAGATGAAAACATAGAACAAACCTCAAATTCCTAATAAAAAGGCCAGACTTACTGGACTGGTAGAGACTAGAGGATCCTCCAAGACTATCCGTCCTGAGATACCATTTAAACTTGGAAATGAACTGACTCCCAGACATCACCTTTCACATAAAAGACTGACTCATAAAATAAGCAACAAAACCCATGAGTACTGTGCACCATTAAATAAACACCCATATGAGACCAAACAGTCAATATTTACCATGAAGCCAAGATGAGAAGGTAAGAGCAGGGGGCAGAGAAGCTACATTAATAGAGACAGAGCAAGTAGGATGGAATAACGAGAATGCCGACACATTGTGAAAAATGCAACCAAATTCAAAAAAACAAACTCACTGCCATCCAGTCCATTCCAACTCAGAGCGACCCCCACTGGGTTTCTGAGGTGGTAAATCTGTACGGAAGTAGACTGCCCAATCTTCCTTCCGCGTAGTGGCTGGTGGGTTTGAACCACCAAGCTTCTGATTAGCAGTCAAATGCCTTAGGCACTACGCTATGAGAATTCCTTGAAAAATGTAACCAGTCACTGAAAAATACTTACAGAAACTATTAAATGAGAAGTTAATTTCTACATAAACTTTCACAGAAACAAAATTAACAAGAGATTGTTACTTTCTTCTTTACATTTTCTATATTATTTGAATTTTCTGCAAGTATATATTTTCCTCTATGCATAGGATTAGAAAAAAACTTAAAAATAATTTTCTTATATCCTGAAGAACTTCAAGGAGCTCTGGTGGTATAGTGGTTAGTGGTTAAAGCATTTGCTGCTAACCAACAGGTTGATGGTTTGAATCCACCAGCCCCTCCATGGGAGAAAGATGAGGCAGTCTGCTTCCATAAAGATTTACAGCAATGGAAACCCTATGAGGATATTCTTCTCTGTCCTGTGGGGTCACTATGAGTCGGAATTGACTCAACAGCAGTGGGTTTTTGGTTTTGGTTTATGTCACAAGTCATCTAGGTCAGAAGCCAGAGATTCTAGGAAAATGCAACTTTTATTAGTAAGCTTTAGAAGTTGAAATAAAAGCAAGACTAACCAAGAAACGGTTAGAGAGGTTGCTCAAAGAGGAAACAGGTTAGGTCTGCAGCGGCCCAGTAAACCATGAGGAAGACAAAGTCCAACAGTGGATTTTCATGCTGGCCAGGCAAATGTGTGATGAATATTCTTCTCTTTGCTTGCTACGGGTTTTAGAAAAATAGTAAACCATAAACCAATCTCCCCTGTGATTAAAGATACACCTACCCTAAGCAAAATACCA